ATAAATAATGTTGCAACCTGATATCTTGTACTGCAGAGTTTCTTACTCCGTTGTGTGTTTTCTGTTTTCGAACTGAGTTTGATATCATTTAACTCATTCCCCTCCAGATGGTTTTGGGCGAAGTGATATTAAACTCAGTTCGAAAACAGAAAACACACAACGGAGTAAGAACCTCTGCAGTACAAGATATCAGGTTGCAACATTACTTATCTGGAGAAAGTTTCCCACCGGTGCCTGTGAAATATGAACATTTCATTGACATCGATTATTAATTCTAGCTATACGCGTGAACCAGTGATTTTTTGGGAGGGAGCAGTAAAAAAATGCTGGTGGTATAATAGCATACTTTCTTACCGACAGGGCAGGTGGTATGATAGCATACCTTCTTACCGACCGAGCCCTCGGCACCGGCGGCAGCCATTTTATATCTAGAGAGTGTCCGCTGGCCACCGCGGCAACAGTGATGCTTCATGACGTCACGCTGGCTGTGTTGCCTGCCAATAGCATCGAGTTGCATCCCCCTAGTAGTGACAGTCTTCACTGGCTCACCGCCTGCTTCTGATGGTTTCTCGTTTGGCTCAGTCTCTGATCTTGAAGATGGGGCGATATGTTCCTCCGAAACGTCCATCTGTCTCATAACTCCAGAAGATTGTACTCTGTATAGTCACAGCAGTAGGAACGTTGAAACCAACATATGCCCTTTTTGTACGAAAATAAACCGCCGTGTGCTAAATACCGTTGGTGTGAGTAACTCTGAGCGGGAGGCAAAAATTCAATGCTACAGATAAAGGGCCAAAAGTGGGGTAGCACACAATGCCGCACACTTGTGGAAAGTGTTCAACAAAAATGGTGTTAGGTGTACGGGAATGCTAATAATAGAGAGATAATTTTACAAAACTGTGGATTGTAGATGAAGCCACGAGTTTTTGTTATTATTATTAGTATTATTATCTTGGCTAGGTAGAACACACCAGTTCAGTTACAATACATATTGTATTCGATGTCTGAAATTTATACGAATTATTACAAAAAAGTAGTGTCTATATTTCTATCTGCTATGCAGCAGTATTGCGAACATGCTTGATGCATTTTGTTTGTATCACGTCATGAAAACTTAAGACAATGGCGACTAAGCAAGGGAAACGTGGTGAACAACCTACAGCTCGCGTACCATGTCGTATTTGATTTTCTGTGTTTTCTGGTAGGTGTCTACTAACGCTTTGGATCATTTTCTGTAGATATAAATTATGTTCCTCCGAAACGTCAGTAACTACCCACCAGAGTACACGACATCATAATACATAAGGCCACTACATGAATTTAGGTTACTATATATCCTAACCTCAGTCCAATAAAACATGAGGGACATTCTACTACGTTTCCTTCACTAATTTACGTACGAGTGTTTGAATTTTTATAGAACCAAATCTCTCTCTCGACCTCGGCACAGATACACAGAAAAATAAACGTGTTTTCTCAGGCATTAACATTAAGTCTCTTAATGAAATAATCCGCATAATGATGAAGAGATTATTTCGCGTTTGATAAGTCTGTTCCCTATTGTTCAGTTCGCTTATGGGCAGTAACTTTCTAGATTCGGTCCTGGACACTCGTTACTACGGCCAGAGATTTTAAGGACCTCCACAATCCCCCGAGATAGTTTTTCATCCAGTATTTGAGGTGGTATCTTGGGAACCCTTGGCTAATAAAGAACGAGAGCCATGGAGCAGAATAATTATTGAGAAATTAATATTCATTCAGTAGGTAAAGAAATTTCGTTATTTTATGGTACTCCAAATTTAATTACAGTGTTTGCAACAGCCAAGCAATTAGATCCTATTAAGCATAATGGGACTCCAATAAAAGGTAAAGTGTAATGTTGTCTCTATGTTTAATTAATTAAACACGGAGCCATGAAGACGCATTGGAGAGTGGAGTTATAGTTCCACTATTATTGACCTCGGCAGTAGATTGAGGTGAACGGTGAGCCTCACGCCCCTGTTGCTTTAACCCAGGGGAAAGAACCTTCGGTACCCATATGACAGGAGGCTGGATGGGACCTATAGCCCGTCTGGACGCTGCGGATTAGGGGAAAGTCCGATACCCCCGCTAAGAAATCATA